CCCCCCCCCCCCCCCCACACCAAAGCCTCATTTTCAGCCAAAACCAACCGCCCACCTCATTCATTCCTCAAACCCCCTCAAAGCAAACCCAAACAGCCTACCACCTCAATTCTCTCAACTTTTCCAACATTCTCAACCCTACAATCCTTCAAAACCAAAGCAACCTACCACCCAACCCTAAAACTCAATCCACCTAACAGGGGTGCAAAACCCAAGCAGGGAACGACTTTGCATGCTCCACCCACGCTGAATGCAAAACCCCAGATACTGAATTTCATGGTAATTTAATATTCGATTCCGTCAATTCTGCCAGCTTTGCTGGTAACCCTGGACCCTGAACCCTGCACCCTGGGCCCTCAATGTGGGTCGGGGAAGCGTACCTCACTGTTTACCCCCTGGGGCTCGCGGATGTATAACATACTTTGGCTCTTGAACCCCTTAAGCCCTACCTTAAAGCATGCCAACCCTATAAACCCCCATAACCCAGAACTCAAAAAAAGCTGGCTTGTACCCGGGGAAGAAAGATCGCATTGCATGATGGTGCGTCACGTCTTATTGAGCAGCACGAATGTGAATGTCGTTTGTCGTGCACTTCTGGCACACTCCAAAAATTTCTCATATTTGAGAGATTCAGGCACAGCCGTGGTGAAGGGTGTCAACCTTTGCACACAAGGCGGCTGCCCCCCCTATCGCAGAGAAACTCGCGTTCCACATCGAGCATATGTCTTCACCCCTAGGATCCTCAAAGTAGGTCTCTGGCTTTTTTTCAACCACTTTGCTAAACGGTTCTCCTTCCCAACAGAACGTTTTCTGGCCAAAAGTGCATTTGTATGGACGTGGAGGATTCGGCACCCAACGGGCATTAATCTTGCAAGGACTGGCAACGCATGCTTCCTCCCTGATTGCCGCGAACGCCACTATCTCACGGGGACATTGGCACAAGCTGCCTTGGTCGAAAGCCCTGCACCACCCGCCCTGGCTGTATCCCGCGAGTCGACATCCTCTTTCGCACACTTTCTCTACGAGTCCCTCCTGGCTGTCCGATCCCGTGCATGCCTGCGAGCGCCGGATGGCTGGCGAACGTTGCTCAGTGGCTGGTCCCTCAACGAACGATGTCGTGCAGCCTTTCAAGGTCCCAATGGCAGCCAAGCTGAAAGCCGCCAGGGCTACTCGCAGGCAAGGCCATGTCCACTGCGCCATGGGGACACTGGGTAAGATTCCACAGCTACGGGATGAGCAGCACATGTCTGCCAAGGCAAGACTCTCATTTGCATAAGTTATGGAAATTTGGGTGGGGGGCAGGGCCTACGTTACCTCGAACTATTCTGCTATTCAGGGTGCCAGGGTTATTGTTGAAACCGAAACGTGGCGATGCCTGCTAGAATTTAGCAGCCGTTTCTAAATCATAAATCCCAAATCGATGCCGGCTGGTCCTATCATCGAGATGCCCACAGGACCACGTGCTGGAACACAGGGTTTAGGGTATAGGTTTTAGGAGGGGTTCAATAATGAGTTGTAGTATTTTTCTAATGTATTTTCATATTATATAACAAACCAAACCTGCAACCTGAATTGGTTTCGAGCTGATCCGCGCAGAACGGTTTACGGCCTTGAAGGGGGGGTCTAGTGCTTAGGATTGACTGTGACATGCCTGATGTCAAAGCGGCTGGATGACTGAATGCGGATTTAGCTAGGGATGGCCACATACATTTTTTTTTCTCACGCCCCCGCGCCTCATCCGTTTTACCCATAGGCAGTGCACTTACACTTTACAATTTTCTTCCCAAAATCTTTCATCCACCACCTCCCCGCCTCACCCGTTCCACCAAGAAAAAAATCAAAATCTTGACATAACTCTACCTCAAGATTTTAGAAATGATTTTTAGCAACAGTCTAGAAACTCCCCTCTCAAAAATCTTCAAAAAATGCACCTTTTTCCAGTCGTCGACCAAAGCACGGCCTTCTTCGTTCTTCTATTCATCAATACCATATTTATCATCTTTCTTGACTACTTTGTAATATTCCATTGTTTCAGGTTTAGGTTCTCTAATTGCTCCCTCGTTAAGTATTTTCAAATATACATTTCTCTTATTATTATATCCTCCTCCGTCATTAGTATAATTAGATTTTTGTTTTATTGATTTTAACAATGTTTCGCTAAATTCTTCAACCACCTTTCTAATATCATCTCTTAACCCCTTAATCATTAAAGCAGTCCCGTCTACATCATCAACACTCTCTGTCATATACACAGGATGATAAAAGTTTTAAAACTAAATCTTTTTAATAAAATTTTGATGTTTTTGGCTTTGTTCGTGTCTTTTCTTATGTCCAAATGTGAAATATTTACCGCAAGGGCATAATATTTTTTCACTTAACATATCTGTCTTTTTTTCATAATATTCTTTGCTGTTTCTTTTAATTATTTCTGGGTTCAATTCTCTATATACTTGCTTTTGTTGATTAAGATATTCCTTGTTCTCTTCGTAATATTCTTTTTTTCTTTTGTCGTATTGTTCTCTGTTGTCCTCAATCCATTCTTTTGTTGTTCGCCCTGAAACAATTTTATTTAGGCAGTCATTGTTTGTAATATGATGTCCCTCTTTTTTTAATAACTCGTCTCTGTTTTCGCATTGACATGCTTCAATTGATTCAATTTTACAGTTGTCTATACCGTATTCATCACATATGCTTTCAACGTACATACATGGCCTGCAAAGAGAATAGTATATCTTCACTTTTGGGCCAAAATAAACACTATATAGGTACACCCTAAACCCTAAACCCTAAACCCTAAGACCTAAATCCTAAACCCTAAACCCTGAATCCTAAACTCTAAACTGGAAACTATATAGGTACATGGACCCCTAGGGATGGTTGGGCTGGTAGAAGTGGGAAATCGGAGACCTTGGCACAGGGCTCCAGGGAACAAAATGGATGAAATGGTTGAGATGTATGTTTTTTTCGGAGATTTCAACAATTTGAAATCCCGGGAGCCGCTCAGCCCTGCGCCAAGGTCTCCAATTTTCCATTTCAACCTCTTCAACTGTTTTGACATGGTTGAAATGCTTGAGCGAATTCTTAGAGACATTCATGAAACATTCAACAGTTGATGATGGGCAACATGTTTTACTAAAACATACTTGTTTGTACCTACTTAATGCTTTTTGCTTCGCTTTTTGTCTTAACATTTTCATTTTATTATATGAATGTTGTACTAGTTCCGACGCTGTTAATTGCCTTGGTGGCACTAGTTCTTCCATTCCCATGGCTTCTCTTGTAAATACAACTTAAATTCTGAAAAGCGAATTTCGTTAGTTGTTTGTATGTTGCCTTAATTTCCTCTTCAGTGCCGCTTTCCATACGATCACTACAACTCCAACATGTATGGGCGAAGTGGAGGCCCAAGGCTTCAGCTTTGGGAGTTGTTGCCCTCTCCGAATCCACTCATTCCACGGAAAGCGATCAAGATCCCATGGTTGACAAAAGCAACCCTCTCGCGCGGCTTACTTCATGTACTAGGACGGTCTCAAGCAGCCCATGCCCTGGATGTGTAGCTGTTACACGTAGTGAAGAACTCCTGTCTTCCACAAGCTGCCACATAACCGCCCAAATCTGAATTCTCGCAATACCACCCCTGAGAGGAGATTCTTGGCTGGCAACCTCCGTAGGTGTCGATGATGATCCTCAGCTGATTTCGCCACAACTCGAAAGGACAAGCTTGAGCCTAGAACATGCGCGGCACAAGTCAAAACCTGCCTGGGAACAGGCATGCAGAAACTACACAAAAATCGGGCCACCTTAAACAAAACACCCGACCCGACGAATAGTTCAGGACAGCCAGGAAAATACACAAAAACCGAGGTGAAAACCACGAATTGTCCCAGGATCTTGCGGCCGGTCAGTCCCGCATCGCCCTGGGGGCCACCGATGATGAACTTGCCTCGGCAGTGTTGCTGCCAAGCGCATCGGGGTTTAGAAATAGACCTGGATCGACCCAAAACCCGACGGCACAGGGTTCCGAAACCGGCCGTAACTCTAAACTCAAAACCTTGAGCTGCCCCAGTGTAAAGACAGGAGGGAGACATCGAATACCAGAAGACCGAACTTCCGTCTCCGGCACTTTCGAGCCTAGGCACCCGAAGGGTTGATGTGCAGGTGCGTGTGGGCGCCATAGAGGCTGATGGCTTGCTGGCCGTTCTTCAGCCTTTTCAGCGGCCAAGGGCTTCTGAAGAGCAAAGAGAGTCTGAAGAACTCTTATTGACAACTGTATAAATATATTCATTGAGGTTTTTGTAATGAACCCTACATGAACCTATATGATCTTGAAACTGAACATAGCTGCATCTAACTCCCCTGAAAACCTCAACCCTGGACATACGATCCGCTAAACCGTCGACTCTGACCTCCTAGGGTCCTAAACTCTCAATCGCTAGAGTAGCCGCTAGAGTTGCGTAGCCGAGCAGCTTGATGGACTGAAGGGTGCGCTTGATGACCTTCTCCTCGATCTCCTGCGCTTTGGGGCGCGGGGCGTTGAACCGTAGCGTGTCATGGGAACAAGACTATGCCATTAAGCATGACTAGTAAGTCGGCGCGTACTGCTGCAACGACGACGTGTCGCATCTATGCTCGGACCTCCAGGGCGCCGGTGTACCCCAACCCCCAGCCTTCAAACATTTAGGGTACGCTTCGGAAGTTGCTGCGTGCTAAGCATACGAGTTGTTGTTTGTCTCGAAGAGTCCCGTCGATTTCCCGTAGATTTGGCTTTAAAGGAGATGGCCAGTGCTATGAAGTACGGTTGGTGGCCGTTGCTTTGTCCTCCACGTGGTGTTCCAGTGCTGACAAGTACGACTTGTTGCCGTTGTCTTGGCTAAGAAGTACGATTTGTTGACGTTGTGTTGGTTGCCCGCGGCTTTAACATGCTTTAATATTCAAGGTTATACTGCGTCAGATATAAGTATAGAGTGTTCCCTCCTTGTTCATCTGCTCCATCGTTGGCGCGGTCATCTCAGCACCCTTGTAGCCAGCGCACTCCTCACCGCCCGGCAAGAGAGGACACCACTAATCTATAAGTGTGTATTACTCTGACTGCAACAAGTTTTTTGGTGTACGTACAAGCTGCACGTGTCCTTTCACCACAAACCTCCCAATACTCTAAGGCCTTTGGCACGAACAACCCCTTGAACTGGGATCATATAATAACGAACAATTAAGGACTAGAAAACATTACTGATAACCATCTTTCAACTTGTCGACCTTCCTTGTAACACCCTTGAAATTCGAATCTCACAGTTCTCGCCTGTGTGCGCTTGGCCTTGGAGGGCTCCGCATGCTGAGTCGAGATGACCACGGTGTGGATCTTCCTTTTCCGTTGCAGGCTATTGACGTATAGCATAGAGTTTGGCATCGGGCTTTGCAGCTTTTATCCAATTCATTACGATGGCTTCTATGGCTTATGTGTGGAATCGAAATTGGGATCATGAACTCCCCGACCAAAAAGCAGCATGGTGTCCACCAGCATGGGGTCCACCGAAGCTCTAGGTCCCCATCTGCACAAACTGCATGCCATTACTAACCGTACAAACGAAGATCCTGTGCAGGAGGCTTGACCCCAAAAAGGCAAACAGGGACTAGTAAGAAGGCTCTACCGAGGCTTACGAGTTCAATTCAGAGTTTGTTTAGGATTCGAGCATAAGCTTGGAACTCGGGTATCCGAGTGAGGAGCGTAGGATACCCTGATCCGACAACAGAGAACCACCCCGAGACCCTAAAACTCCAAACACTTGAACTTAAACCCGTCAACTCAAACCTACACCACTAGCTCAGTACGTCCCAATACCATAAGCCCCACACCATGAATCCTGAAGATATAACCCGGCAGCCTTTCACCTCCGACATCTCAAACCTCGGAGCCTCTGTTTCCGGCTTAGGCTTTCGAGGGGATTTGCAGGGTGAGGGGGGGTGGGGGGCTGGGCTTCAGCTGAGACGTAGTCGTTTGGGATCTTGCCCCAAACCCTGTCAGCCCCAAGATAAAGACCCAAACGCCAAAACACTCCTAAGCATCAAGGTCCCGTGCACTGAAGGGAGGAAAGCCCCCGAATGCTAAAGCCAAGCTTCTTGGGCTCAACGGAGCCATCCGGATGCTGCAAGTACTCGATGGTCACCTTCCCCCGCCAGAAGAAAATTTTCGGGTTCCGTGCTTTAGGTTTTGCGGTGTAGGGATGGGGTTTAGGGTTCAGTGCTCAGGATGCAGGGATTCTGGGGGGCGTCGATACTCCTTGCTGTATGTGTTGCTCTTTGTCCTCGAATCCTTCAACCGGGGCTTCGGGCTCCAGAGCTTCGGATGTCTAGGGCCAAGCCCGATACAGGGAAAAGGCCTCGACTGGAAGAGGTCGCGGCATTGAAGTTCGGGTGCAAATTGGTCCAGAGCGAATGTCATTCCAAAATCCTGGAACCGCCAACCGCAAGAAATCGAAATCCCAAGATAGCCCTCGCATGGCTTCAAACTTCAGAAACACTTGGTCTAAATCCTATAGCCGTGAAGCCCCTTCCAAGCCTGGGTCTTGCCGTCCGGGCGGAGCCACCAGCACTCTCCTGTGAATGCAGGCCGCACCGCGACTGTATCCGGTCCCTCTGAGGATCTGCGTTAGACCCGTTACTTTCTCAATCTACTTTCTTAATCTCCCCCTCGCTCGATCTCAGAGGCTATTTTGGACAGTGGGAATTGAGATTTGCGAAGGTGACTCATGGGTCCCCTAATTAATCCCTACTCAAACGACATTTGCTGAACCTCTGAACCATGGAATGGGGAGGTTTAGTGGTTAGGTATAGAGCTACACCCAAGAATGAACACCGACCGAGGCGCCACTCTTGCGGACCTCTGTCAGCGTCTTGCCCAGGCGCGTAGCCATGGAATGGGTCAAGGGCATGCCTGGGCAGTTGTCTGAGGGGTTTGGGGTTTAAGGGTTTCGGATTTACGGTGTAACGGGCATAGGGTTCCGGGATTTGATTAGGAGTTTGCATTTTTTGGTTGGGTCTAAGGTTCAGGGTACAGCACCAAGATCTGATGACGGGAACAACAGCAAGAATTGCAGCAACAGTGCGCTAAGAACCTTTCAGACAGTCATACCTTGACTTGGAAAATACTACTTTCATCAAAACAATAAACAAGACCGCAGCATAAACGACGACAACAATACAGAGGCGTTGGGGGTGTGGGGGTGCTAGAAAGGGCTTTTCAGAACTCAGTGCAGCCCAAATGGCAGTCCGAGGTCTCATCGCTGGCATAGCCGAACCTCGCAAGTCAAATCTTTGGGGGTCACGGGCTTCCTTGCAGGGTTCGTTCGGGAGGGGAGGGGGGAAATTATGGTGGTTACAGGATTGCCGGGGGTCTGTTTAGGGATGTAGAGCCTGTGAGAGTGTTCCTTACGGGATAGTGTTGGTTTCTTATGATCTTGAGCCCGTTCCAGATAATGTTGGTGACTATCTCGTCTGGCTGTGTGATTGAACGGCTTTTGCTTCCGGCTCTGAAACTTTTACCCCTAAAGTCGCCTGTGTACAGGCATTTTAGCGTTTGGGTCTTGTGGCTACGCGGGACGGATGCAGACCTCCGTGTTGATGGAATAAGTATCAATGCAAGTGCTCCTAGAGACGCCCGGAATGTGAACAGAAGGTGCAAGATATGTCAGTGTAGGGCAGGCTTTTCTATTGCGAGGCACATGATACCCTGATCGCCGGCGCCGACATCCATGTCGTCCTGCAGGCAAATCTTGCCGGCACACCGAGGTTGTTCTTTTTTGGTGCTTCTGAAAGTTAGGGCCAGGGGTTCGTCTGTAGAGGTCTTTCCCTTCATCATCCTTCACTCCTGACGTGAAAGAGCCTGAAAGGAAACGAAACTGTCATCAGCTTACGCTAGCGTGCCGTGAATCGTCGCAATAGGCGTGGTTCTCATACGCACTCCGCGTTTTGTCGTGAACATGATCCCTGACCAGCTGAGCGCTGTCAAAGAAATTCATGACAAGAACTTGAAGAGCTAGACCAAGCTGTTGGGGTAGGCTGCACTTACTTCAATCAGGACAAGCCAAGAAAACGCCATTAAAGTTAAACCCTACGAGAGACCCCGTCAGATCCTTCCAAGCCCCAGACCTTAGAAATTACATAGGCTCCCTTTCAAAGACCTTGAGGGCCGAACAGAAAAGGGCCCAAGCCCTGGTCCTTGCCCACGTGCACACCCCCGGCGATGTCGGGGCTCTGCTTGTTGATGCGAACCAAGACCTGGCCAAGGCTTAAGGGTCTGCGGTTTTTGTGGTCAGAAGTTCGGAAGGTCTAGGGATTCTGGAGGCCTTCTGCTTTGTCATTCTCAGGCTTTGGGGCTTGTGGATCAGGTTCTTAGGCTTTGGGGCTTTTCGATTCTAGCGGTTCTGGCTTGGGGCTTTAGGGTTTAGGCCTTTAGGGTATTAGTTCTTCGTTTTCGGCAGACTGACGTTTTTCAATGAGAACTCTCAAGTGACCAGAGTTTGAGGGACTATGGTGGATGGTGTTTTCCGGCTTGTTCTATTCTGGGGTGTGCTGCTGATCCTAGCTGTTGCAGTATGCAGCCCACAGGATGGAGTCTTGAGCTGCACACTTGACATACACACACACACACATACATCCATCCATCCATCAATGCATGCATGCATGCGCACACACGCACACCTCGCAGGTCTTGTAGCTCAAGCCCTTGCTGTCCACGCTGGACCTGGGCTGTGTGGCAAGACTACGTGCTGGGTTGTCACGAAAGGTTATGCATGAAGCCCTTCGAGTGCATGGCTTTGGGATGGCGGCTGAAAATGCAGCTTGAGGTTGAGGGAGCTCAGTCTTCGGAACTGAAGGACAAGATGGATTTTGTGCAGTCTTACGGGCAGGCGGCAGGTCATCGACGAAGCTGTCGAAGCCAATCTGCTCCACGACGCCTCGCACAACCTGTCAGTTCCCGTCCCGTCAGGATTGGGCCGGGGGTTCAGGGTTTGGGGTTTGTTGTCATCGTCAACCTTTAGACTATATAAGGGCTCCCTGAAGCCCAAACGGAAAGGCCGCTGTAGCTTCGGGGCCTTCGGACATGTGGATTCCCAGGACTTTAAGGCATCTTGGGGTGCAAGATTTGAGGCTCAGGGTTTCAACTTCACGTTGCCCAGATGGACAAAACCATGCAAGGGCTAAGGGGATTTACGTAACCGTATTATGAGCAACAGTAGCCCTGCCTTGTCGTAGTCCAAGGCTGCACCGGTAGTGATCTCCCCGGCGACCATCACCATGTTGTCCTAACACCAGCCCCTGCATCCCACCACCCCCTCTTCATCTGCAAACTCGTACAGCCGTACATCAGAAAAAGCACTGGGGTTATTCAAGGGGAAGGAATCAGCATAAACACGGTTAGCAAATACAGCGACACTACGACTGCCAGCAATGGCCATGCTACCCCTCACCTCTTACTTCGAAACCCTCGGACCAAACCTCCCGGAATGAAGTCTCGGGCAAGGTTTCAGGGGAGGCATCTTGATAAGCTTGGTAACCTCAGGCTACAACAGGCGTAATGGGAATACTCGAAGAACTGTGAGTGCATGACAGTAAATGGACAACAAACAGGCGCGAGTCGTTGTGTCTCCGAGTCCTTGGTGGCGGTCTCGCAGGCCACCTTGCTCTTGGGATCCACCTTCAGGCAGGCATCCAGGACCTGGAGTCATCAAAGACACAAGCCGGCGTCTACGGTCTATGTTGAACTGAGAGTTGTACATGTAACGTTTGGGGCGTTAGGTTTGTTTTGTGTTTATGGTGTCTACACTTTAAACTGTTTTTAAGGGTTTAGGGCTGGAATTTTAAGGGTTTAGGATTTTGCAGATTGGCGGACAGGGTTGCGAAGCTTGTGCAGAAATCCATCCAGCTACATACGTACGTTCAACGGCTACCCCGTCCAGCCCTACTTTGGAACATCACCGAGCAATGTGCATTCACAGGCTACAGTATCGGGAGCCCCCGGAGATCAACCACTACCAATCACACCCAAAAACGACGACGACGACGACGACGACGACGACGATGACGACGCCGAATATAGTGACTAGCAATGACAATACGTGCTAGCATTACAGTGACGCCGTTGCTGCTGTTGTTGCTGCAGGGACAGCATGACATACACAAATCATCATTGACCGGGGTGCTGCATCGGAGACCTGATCGCAGATCTTGTCTGGGTGGCCCTCGTTCCTGGAAAGCAGTGAATCTCCCACACTGTAGCAGCCAACTCCCTAAACCTCAGTGGTGTTGAGTTCAACATGTAGCACACCACCGCCTGGCAAAGAACGAGGCTTGGTTGCAAGCACGTCCGAATCTCAACCACACCAAGGCGCACAGACTCCGAAGAGAACAAGAAGGTGCGGGTGGTTCCTCGGCTTCCACCAGCTCAAAGCCAGAAGAGGAAACCCTGAGGCTGTAGAAGAGGCGTTTCAGGTCCACCTGACCGTCCTAGCAGCCTGGGAGTATAATATGTAGTTGATGGTAATCAGAAGGGAATAAGTGAGGCATTAACAAGTTGCCCCCCGTGCAAAACCTTGAGCCCGTCAACCTGTGATCTCAACATGTCAACATGCTAGATGCACGTACACGGCGGCAAGGAATTGAGATTTGAGGTTTGCAGACTCCACAACAGACCCTCTATACGCTTTCAACCCGTACGGCGATCCAAGACCCTTACTCGCCCTGACTCTGAAGACCTGAGCCCCAAAGCATGACCCAGATCCAAACACGACAAACCTAAGTTCAAAACCCACCCACCCACCTACCCCAACCCATAGTCCAGAAGCGAAAGTCGCAAAGTAAGAACGTGTCCAATAGAACACAGAGCGAGGTAAGTCCAAACCCAAAAACCTATCATAGACACAAAAGGAGACTAGGAGGCGCTATCCCCCAAACCCCAAGCCCCAAACTCGAAAGCCAAAAGCCCCCTAAAAGGCAGGCGTCGGGCTTTCTTCTGAGCAGGCTCGGCCATGGTGTCGAAAAAGCGGGGGAGGGATCGCAAAACTTGCTCCAGAATCAGAGGCTGCAGGATCGATGCTTTACTGGGCTCTTGCGCTGTAGGGTTGTTTAGGGAGTAGGTAGGGGATCTAGTCAAAATGGGGTCTGAAATCTGTGTTGGAGCATGGAGCATGTTTTCGGTGGTTTTGGGATTCCAGGAGGGTCTGGGGTTGTAGGTGGAGCCTGGGCATTGCTTCTTCATCCAAGTGAAGGATGGTTCTGTAGGGTTCGAGGGGTCCTGCGACACATGGACTGCGTCCCTAAACACTCGCTGGGTTTTTTGAGGGCTCAAGAGTGTGGAGAATCAGACCGAGGCCGTGTTCGAAGAGGCCCAAGGCACACGGAACAGTGCTTTGCCGTCTCAAACAATGCCAAGAACCCTAAACCCCCCAAACCCTCGCGCTAAATCGTGAAACCTAAATCCTAAAACACAAAGCTGCACACCCTGAACCCTAAACTCAATTTCAATAGAACATGACAACGGGGGGTTCCGGCCTCCTCAACGCACGCGGCCTCCCTCCGACGCACGGCCTGCGACGCATTTAGCATTGTGCTAAGGCATCTTAGTTTAGTAGGCCTGTTGGGGCTTTGGAACTTGAGGAGCAGGATCTAAGGTTTAGGGTGCAGAGTCAAGGTTTAGTGATCTTGTCGGCAGTACTGTCTTAGAGTCACTGCTTTCCGGCGGTTATGCATTCTGGGTTCAGGGCACTGCTGGGGATGCGTTGGCTTGCGGTCCAGGCCTCAAAGCTGGGGAGTTAGACATTCAGCATTCCAAAGCTGCAACTTTGACTTTACTCTTGTTTCGAAGTTACGCGTCTGACACCGAAACAGACACATCAAAATCGGCGATGGCGAATTGTGCCCGGATCCAGCAAGCATGAGCGCCGCGCCTGCCAGTCGGCCTGGTGATTGACCAGCTTGCTGGCCTCTGGTGCTTGGGCTTCGTCTTCTCTTTTCAAGTCAAGGGCCATCTTCCATGATCCTCAACCATGGGAGTGCCAAGAAAGTCTGACGCCCCGTGGCACTGGTAGGGCTACCAGGCAATGTGAAGTAAAGACCTCTCGTCTACTTCTGACCGGTCTGTGATGGTCTGTGATGGTTCAGGAATTTGTAGATCATGGAGGCCCAGTCAAAATCTGCCCGTCCCTCAGCCTCCACATGTCCTCCGAATCCGTCACTGTCGGATCAAACTCCTGCTCGAAACAATACACTGGAATCGAAACATCCCCAAATCATCCAAATCCCCAAGTGCCCACACCCTAAACCTGAAGCCTGAAGCCGCAAAAGCCGCAAACCCTAAACCCAAGAGAACCCAAGAGAACCCAAGCCCCTAAAGCCTAAAGCCCCCGGAGCTTTTTTCCCAAGCAGAGGCGTCACAGGAAGCGTTGTCCGCAACGCCGGGCTGCTCGCCTCCGGGACTCGGGGCTCCCTGGGCTCTCACCGGCGGGGCCCCAACAAGGCTCGTGGTTTCGGGTCTTAGGGACTGCTTGGGGGCCTCAGAGGCTCTTAGAGCTCTCGGCTTTAGGGCTTCATGGTGCGGGTTACCAGAGAAAACTGATGCCACACCCAGCCAGGCGAGAGCGAACAAGCCTGAGCCGAAAAGCCCACCCGAAGCAGCATGACCCGCAAGTTCATTTTCCCTGGAAAGGAAGAGCTTTCCCCCCAAACCCTTAGTCTTTTATTCCAGCGTTTACCGGTTGAGTGTGTTGGGGTGTGGGTCTCCGGACTTTGTGTGTCAAGGCAAAACTTTCGTGGCTCTTGCTGAGATCTCAGTAAAGAACCGAAGCTCCGAAACTCTGAACTCACAGGCCTGGCGGCTTCACCTGGCACCGAAGCGCCCAGGAAGACACCTGGGTGAAATCGGGCGAACGTAAACTCTGGGAAGGTCATGTCCCTGTAAGAGGGTAGGCTTCTTGCTCATGGTTTAGGGTTTAGGGTTTTTTTTTAAGTAGGGTGTAGGGTTTAGGGTTTAGCTCATGTCTCTTTTTCGGTGCCCACTTCGTGGCTCGGGATCGGGGCTTGAGGCCCTCTTGGGGCGATGCTGCTGTTGTGTAAGATGTGGAATGCTGGACTTGTGCATGAGGCTGGAGGATTCAGGGCTGCACACCTTGAGCTTCTAGTACTTCTAGGAATGACGTTCCAGCATTCGTACCCCTATACCCTGAAGCCTAAGGGTGTCAAGCTTGATTATCAAGCTTGACACCCTTAGGCTTTGATACCTCGCAGCTGTCAAACAAGCCCTAGACGTGCCAAAAATCGGGATCCCGATCAAGATCCAGGCCTGTCCAGGTCGTTAGAAAATATCAGCAGTCAGGAATTTCGGGATTGTGTTTCATCCGGCTTTCAAACTTTGCTTGAAGGTTCCAGGCTTGGGCTTAGATTATGAAGGTGATGAGCTGCGAGTGCTTTACCCGTGCTTGTCTCTAAGGTCTACGTTTATTTTTGCTTCGCCGTGGCATCTCGAAACCCAAGCTCTCCAGTTCGCCCAACCCCACGGGGCCCCAGCCGCCAAATCCTCCGACCCCGAGCCCAAGAAGTCCAAAACCCAAACTTCCATGGACCCCATCGCACCCGTCGTTCCCCAAAGCTCAAGATGGTGAAGATGCTCTTCATTGCATCCTTAAGCCCCGAGTCCTGAACCCTGGCCCTTCGGTGTGTTTGGGTCGTAGGGGATTGGGGTCTTGGGCCGTTAGGGTTTGAGGGTTTCTATGAGGGTTTTAGTGTTTAGGATGGTCTAGGGTCTAGCGGTAGCACGCCCACATCCTAAGACCCAGACACAGCACAATGAATCCAAGTCCTCCGAAGCCTTCCGACACGGTAGTTCAGAACAAGGGGCCCGAATACAGAGCATAGAGCCCTTGACAGTAACTAGGCTCTTTTCTCCACAGATCTAACACGGATCTAAGGAGGCTTGCAAATCCCCAGATCCCGAAACTGCTCTTCTGTAGTCGCGGTGCTGCCAACATCCAGCCCGCTCTCCATCGCGTTGCCCGCAAAGAGGTTTTTCAGGTGTTCGACCGCTTCACCGTGGTCCTGTCTCTGGTCGAGGTTTTGTGGATTTAGGGCGGAGGCTTTAGAGCTGAACGATCTTTGGCTGGGGTTCAGGGCTCAAGGTCTAATCAAACATAAATCAGATGCAAGCGTGACTCAGTCTCTGCAGCCCTCCGAATGGGAAAATAGACTGCTCTTCGATCGCTGATAAAGCAATAATTATCATTCCACGTAACATGCAAAAACAAGAGAAAGATGCCCAATGCGGCTTCACTCGGCACCAGACAAAGCAGGCAATCCCAGGCTCGCCGTAAACCCTCAACTTCCCGAAACCCCAAAACTCTCGAAACTGAACCTAAACCCGCCTACCAAACCCCAACCCCGGACCGAAAAATCTCTTAAGATGCGAAGCTCTTAATCGTGATAGACCCTCACATCGACGATTAAGGCCTCCCCCCCGTTTGGACTGAGCCGAGACTGCGTCCCAGACCCAAAATCGGGGCTTTGGCAATTTCAGACTTTGCGGTTTAGGGTTTGGCCCTGGCGTCCAGAAAGCTGTATGTATGTTTCTAGCGATTAGTGCAGTAGGGTTGCCAATGTGGGGCTTAATTGAGGCTTTGGGGTGGTGTAGGAGACCCTGCTGCATCACTTCGCTGGATGGCTGCTTGATGTTCATCAGGCCTCCACCATCTTGTTCACCTCGTCGATGCGTGCGTCCACCACCTTCCTGGGATTTGGGGCTCGGGCTCACTCCACCAAGCAGTGGAAGGTCAAGATCCAATCTAAAGGTAAGCTTTCGCGTGAACCCTCAGAACTCCACAAGATTAAGGGTTTAGGAGTTTAGGGCTCGCGGTTTGCGGTTTGGGTTGATGAGCGAGGGTCTCTGCCTGCAAAGACTAGATCGAAAAGTGGCCGCCAGGACTGCCCTGTCCTACTAGGTCACTAAGTCTTACTAAGTTACCATTGCCAACAATTCCGAACTCTACGTTTCATTGCGCTTCTCTGCCTTGGTGCACACGCCGCACAAGCCTTGGTGCCCTGGAACCCTTGTCCCTCCAATGCCCTGAGCACTGAGGGCACCCATCCGCAGCCCCACAGCTACACCTTCAGACCAGAGCCCGAAACCCAGACCGCCGGCGCCTGAGTCTCAAACCCCTTGGACCAGACCGGCAACAAGCCCTCAAAACTCAGAGCCGATGCTTGAACCCAGCCTTTTTCACTCCCTCCAACACCCAGCATCAAACCCCCAAGGCTGATCCCTAGACCCGGGAAACTCCTGAAACACACAAACCCTGAGCCAATGAAACCGCCAAACCCTCAACCTTCGAACACGAAGCTTGCAGCGCCCGTGAAGTTCCAAACACCCAAGACCCCAGAGGCAACCTGAAAGTCTCAAATTCCAAACTCTTGAAACCTAAACCCTAAATCCTCATCCTAAGACTCTAGCTCAATCGTGGGCCGCAGCAGAAGGGCGACAGAACCTTTATTGAACCCGTAATGATATAAAAACCTGCTTGCATACCCACCCTGACACCCATGGAGCCCTTGTACAGCGGTTGTAGCTTCATCAAGAACACCCCATGAACCCTTAGCCTCGAAACTCTTCTAGCCCTTCCTCAGCTCAGACGAGAAACTCCGCTTCCATGAGCTGCTTAAGCTGGTTCCTCGGCTCTCACCAAAAACGAGCTGCCCGAAAGCACCAGGACCAGGGTTGCTCCCCGGTCTTGTCTGTTTGTGTATGCGTGCTGCTGCCCCGTCAGCAGAGGGGGTTTTGTCGAGGGTCTGGATTGCCTGCTCTCGGAACCTTCTTCAGAATGTGGGAATCTGGTCCAGACCCTGGTTGGAAGTTAGCAATCCAGACCCCAAGGATTGAGGCAGACCTTCCGTAAGCGGAGCTTAGATCCCTATTTAAATTGGGAGGCCTAGCTCTGGAATAGGAGGATGTAGGCTCCCGGAAACCTGCGATGCAAATTCAACTAAAATGGATTGACTGATGTCAGCCTGGAAAAGTGAGTGCGTACCTGTGGCTTGCGTGCTTGTTCGTCTGGGTGCGGGATGTGGGTTCGCATGCGCTCTGAGAGTCCATATATCATGTATGTATATGTGTGCGTGAGCGCATTTACGTATTTGTAAAAAAAATGAACATAACATTAGGAGCAGCAGCAGCAGGGGTAGCAGCCGTAGCAGTAGCAGTAGCAGTAGCAGTAGCCGTAGCCGTAGCCGTAGCCGTAGCCGTAGCCGTAGCCGTAGCCGTAGCCGTAGCCGCAGCCAGTAGCAGTGGCAGTGGCAGTGGTAGTAGCAG